CTTAAACACTTAAAGCTGTAAGCTAATGATAGTTATATAAGAGCAGATGCATGCTGGTGCAATAAGCTGTACGTTTTACGTCCAATGGATGCATGATGTGATTAGTCGACTATCAAATCTCTCTTCAGAGTATCATGAATGCTTAAATACTTAGTAAGAGTCCAAAGTGATAACACCTTGAATAAAGTTTGTACTGGTTGCAGGATTGATCAAAGGCACAAAGTGATTTCTATGCACAGACTCTAAAAAATAGGAAACCCACGGGAGCGTGATTGTAATAGGGCCAGTACCTATGATTCAGTGTCACAACTGGTTTTTCCCCCGTCATATTATTTCCATAATGTTATGTCAGACACGACAACAAGAATCAAGACACAATGTGGCCAAAATAGAATCTGCATGACACAAAGAGTTACTCACATTTCCGACATAAATAGATCTGCCATCTGCCTCCATCTTTTCCTCGATGGACATGATGACAGGGCCAACTGCACAGAGGAGAGAGAACAGAATAAATCTATATAGGAAACAACATTGAAATGAAACACATATTAGGTCAAATTACTGCTTTTAACTCCAAATGTGAGATGTAGCGCACCTACAATCGAAAAGTCCATGAAAAGATGAGATCAAATGGATGGTATAAAGGCAAAAATGGAGTTTACAATTGATTCACGAGTTTTGTCATTACACAAGAATGACAAAATCATAGTTTCTCCTTCACATGGGACAATTAAGCAACATAAATATACTGACACAGACACGCATTCAGATTCGTGCATTATATAAAGTTCTGATGGATGTAAACTATTTTATCATTTATTTAGATTTAACCTTATAAAATCGGACATAAGAGCATTGCAAACTGAGACTAAACATAAGTTGTTTTGTTTGCATTTAAAAACAAACAAACAAACAAACATCCATCTCTGAGGGTTAAAAACATGGAATTGAATATTAAAATAATGTACTTTACACGAGTTATTTACAGAATACAAAATCTATAGTTGTAGATTATATAAATATGTATATATTCCTGAAGAGTATATTATCAGGCAAAGCTCATATTTTGTTCGCTTATTTCATTTTTTGCTGTCTTCTCTTTTTGTGCCTGGAAATCAGGAGAAGCAGCAGCATTTCAATTATTTTCCAAATCTTAACTGTGCTCGTGATAAACTGGGAGAATCAATAAGAACGTGTACTGAACTTGTAACCAAGCATTAAAGTGAACCCATATTTTAATGCACATCCTAAACTGGTTTGGGGTCACTGCTTGAAAATGAGTGTAGCATTTACATTTACTAAGTGAGATTATTTCTAAGCGAGCACACAACAGACAATAAGACAAATGATTATGGGGCTTTCCCCTCACTGGATAATGTGACAGCAGAACGAGACGAGGAGGCAAATGTGGACAGATGGGGGGAAAATTAAGGCGTCTGCCTTGGAGGGAAAAAAAAAAGAAGACGCACCTGGTGGGGGGCTCAGATTCATCTGTTTCTCCACCTCGTTCTGTAGCTCCTTCAGCTTCTCTGCCTCTTCCTCCATCTCTCTCACTCGGGCTTTGATTGCCTCCAGCTCCTGCAGCACAGACACAGATTCCATCAGAGCCGTCAGTCCATCATGTGCACAGCTCAACGCAACACAATATCGCAATGCCAGTTACTGCTGGAGCCATCTTCACCAACTTCCAAATCTAAAATAATTTAATGAATAAATCAGAAAGAGATCTAGTGTGTGCACACCCTGGAAATATTTTTAAGCACCCATTTGGCAAACTAGCAAAAGAAATGGTGCCGTGACCGTGACATGACCTCAGTATAAAGAGAGACTTTATATCAGCTACAAGTCGTAAAATCCATATGTGCAAGATTTAGGCAGAACCACGAAAAGATTTAGGAAAAGCATGCAAGTAGTTCTGAGGACGCTGTAAGCCAAACAAATGTAAAGAGAGGACTTGGAATAAAAGTAAAAACGTTAGCAGCATGAAGTGCTTCCCCACATGTCAAAAAGGAATGTCAGTGTTTCCAGGTTCAGTGGGAGGATGAAGTAGATACTGCAGTGCATCACTGTCCAGCTTGTCTTGATAACCCAGGTATACATGAGGCTACATTTAAAAAACGCCAAAAGGGCAACTTTGTTTATAAACTACAACTGGGAGAAGATGTGTGGGAGGTTGTGTGTGTTTGTGATAACAAACCTGCACTTTCTGAATAGCAACATAATACTGTTTGGACAGGAATACATATCAGGCAATAAAATCAAATCTCAGTGCAGTCATTAGTTCCTGCAATAGGCACGTATTACACACAAAGTTGGTATTCACCCATTCTATAGAAAATCATCATATGAAACAAGCTGAAACATGGTGGGAAATTGGCCTCAAAATAGTCACCAATCCGTATGACCAGGTTAACCATCTCTGTGTTAATAAACTCTGGTTGTGATGCAATTGCAAAATACTGTTTTACATAGCTTCAAATTAACTGGTCTCTCTGTGTGGATTGCTGCATTTTTAAACACCTACATCATAATTCCATCTATAAAGCACTGTAGCTGGAACTGTGTAATAATTCACATTTAAAATGGCTCACAAGTTTCTGGCTCCATGGAGGTCAGGACCAGCTCTGGGTCAAACTAATATTAACGTGTGACCGACAAGAATTACCAGCTTTAAAAAAATAAATAAATAAATAAAAATCCAAATATGGTAACAACAACAGTCAAAAAACATGATCCAGACTTTTAATAAGACCAACATTCCAACCCCAGATCCCAGACAGGATCTAAGCCCCTTAGATAATCTCAGGGAAAACCCTGTACTGGGACTTCTTCCACGTTTAAGTGCACCCTCAATCTAGTCCTGCACTGCATGCGTACTAGTTATTCTCATTCTCATGCCCCACATTTTGCAGTATACCCTGCCATCCTGCCTAAATTTAATAGTAGGTACCTCCCCCAAGTCAAAAGCAGACCTTAAAGCCACTATAAAGAGGACCGCCAGGCCAAGATATGCGTGAGCAGAAATATATATATATAAAACAAAAAGGTTACCAACCAAGGTTAAGTATCAAGCCCCAAAGCAGCGTTGGCAAACAGCACTTCAAATATCCACATGATTAAAAACATCATGTCCAAACATGGTAACATTCACTGTTTAAGTGCTTACAATGCAAAAATATATTTATAACAAAAAATGCCACCTTAGCCTAAAAATGAACTTCTGTTATCAGTTTATTTTGGAACAGCATACATCACTACATGGTCATATGCATATTAATTGCCAAGAAAATGTGTTTATTTTTGCTGGAGAGCCATTTTGGAAAGATGAAGCAGCGAGATGATGATGAGATCTGCGGTCAATCCCGCAAAACTAAATAATGCCAATAAACTTATATTATTATTAGATAAACAGTGAGCTGGCTGTGCCCTCATGTGGAAGTGGACCCTCCTGTCTGACAGTGGTGCACTGCAGCACAGTGGGAGTCACTCCAGCTCGATCCAGAACTACTGACAGGATTGTAATGAAAAAGCTCTTTGTGAAACTGGGTGCAGCGACACAGACCGGACTGTAATAAATTCAGATCTTCTCACCGCAGCGGGCTATAAAACTGCACAGCGACTCGCTGCACACGCTAATAAAGACGCCATCATTTCTCGGTCGGCGTGTATTCACGCGACTGATGCTCTGACACATATCACCAACACTGAGATGATGGATGGATGGGAAGTGATCAACATTCAAAGCAGGACCGCTCGGATGAGCCATCCACCGCTGGCACGTTGCGACTCCAATTTTTCTCTCTCTGTCCCTTTTTTCTTTTTTTTGTCTCGTCTTGTCGCATATTCAGTGCAAGCTCTTTCACTCCCCTCCCTTCTCTTGCTCTCCTTGCTCTAGCCAAACAGTGAAGGATGCAAACCCAGCCCCTCAAATACCGCAGCCCCTTTCTTCTGCGTTGTACGCCACGCTTTCACTGGCCGACATCCTCAAAACCCTCACCTGGTCACTCAAGACAATCCCAGCCATTGTGCACTCGTGTGTTAGCTGCACGAGGAAATAATAATAATAATAATAATAAATATATATATATATATGTATGTTTAAAAAAAACTAACTGGGCTGATTAATGCAAATTTTACATTTTCAACAATTACACAGGGTGTACACCAACAAGCAGCGATTCACGACTCTACCCCCATTGTCGGCCGAAAAATAGGCGACAAAGATGGTCAGGTGCACGTCTGCCACTGCCACACCAGCTTTGTTAAAATCCGCTAGCATGTTAGCCACAAAGATCCGTTATCACATGCTTAATATTCACGGCTACTAAGCCAGCTGCTGTTAGGCCCAGCAGCTTGAGGTGCAAATGCCGCATTTCATCTCGTGACTGCTGATTACAGCTGACAGGTCCGCTGGTCATTTTATCCGCAGCCTTTAATGGTCGGGCTTGCTAAGCTAATGATAACCTGCGGCCGCTCGCTCGCGTGTGCGCAAACCGGCGCTTGAAATGCAACAGCCACAGCCGGTTAAATGATAAAGGTAAAGGGAATAAAAAGAGGTCATTACCGTTAGCAGGTCGCCTTCTTAAGGAGGTAGACTCGCACAGCGGCGGCGGCTAATGGCGGCGGCCTGTCCTACCCTCGCCCCTTACTGTCTCCTGCATCTCCGTCTCGCATTTTTTCGCGACAAGGACCCCCCCACCCCCCACAAACGGCTCGAGCTGCTCCCTGGCGCAGAGAAACTGGCGTCGCTGTTGCGCCAAGATGGCTGCCGACACCACGCATGTCACCACCCATTTCTACTGCACTGCGTGAACCACAATGGCGGTTAACACCGACCTGGCGATAGCAGTAACGCACACGGCATGTGACCCAAGATTCGTGTGGAGAATGAAAAAAAAATCAACAAATTGTTCACCCGCTTTTACTAGCTGCTCCGCCACGACCACAAAGTGTCTCGGTATTCATGTGGGTTTCCACTTTAGAAACAATGCCCTTCACTTACCGGATCTTCAATTGCGGCCTCTCCCTCTTCTAATCCCGGCTCTTCGTCACCGACACCCGGGTCTTCCAGCTCGGGATGTCCGGGGTCTGAATCTAGCAGAGATTCCTCCGCCAGTCCGTTACCGAACTCCGCCATCGCCCTGTTCCAACTGTACCGACGCGCCTCGTGGCCAAACCAACGTTGCAGGCCCCTACTCACACACAAGGGGGTAGAGTGAGCGGGGCGGCGAAAAGAAAAAAAACGGCGGAAAACGCCGCTTAGTAAAGTTAAAATGGGGAATAAAATGCTAGCTTCACTTCTAGCTACTACTCAAACAGCATACCACGATGAACGGGGACTACTAATTCACGCTACCTTTAGGAAATGGTCCTAACTTACGACAGATAACCTAGTTTATTTACTTAAATGTGTGTATAAAAAAAGGCGAGGGCTATACGCGAGAGCGGCGGCGTCCCTTCAGTTCAGAAATGGAAGCCAGGGGCGGAGCCATGGATCACTGCAGGCGTAAGAATCTCCCTCCCATTCGCTAACCGAGGATTCTAGACCAACCTCTTCGGTCTTAGCCGCATTCCTATTGGTTAATGAAACAGGACGTTCCGGTTCCGAAATCGCATGTGTGCCTCTAATTGGATTACGCTTCTGCCCATTATATCGCATCAATCACAAGTAAACTGGCAAAGGTAGTTGAGTAAATTAATTCCAATCACATCTGAGTGTGTCACATAGATTGTCTCCCCCAGAGTGACCTTTGTTTTAAATATGCCACTCAAGCAAAGCTTCTTAGATGAAGTAATTCTTCCGTTAGGAGAATTAAACCTTAGTGACACACAAATAAATGCTTCAGCTGCACTTCAATCATTCGAGATATGCTTTGTTCTTCAATGATTTTATTTTCTGTATATCAAAGAAAGCATAATGGAGACCAAACACAAAAAAGGCAGGTACAAGTGAGGAGGAAAAATAAGCTTAATCAAAAATCTAACAATTCAGAACAACACTGCCACTATTATTGTTCAATATTCATAGGAATACCAGACTCTTTCTGAGCAGAGTGGTGGCATTTAAAACCATTATGAATCAATAATCAAAAACAGTGATGAGTAGTAATAATAAATCGTATAAGTAGTAGTACAGTTATAACAATAGTGATAATCAAAGTGACAATGAAACATAAGAGAATAAAAAGCAGATCTCCATAAAAACGTATCTAGTTTGGACAGTGCAACACCGTGTCTATGTGTGTGCGTGTGTAATCCCAGTCTTGAGGATCAAGCACTCCAGTCCCTGCTTTACACACAAGATACAGTTTCCAACAGGAGTAAGAAATTATTAGTTGTCAAAGGACAGCATTACCCTCCTTGTTTCAAAAAAACCACACCGAGTGACTCTTAAATGTTGTGGTGATGGCTGTGTTCATTTGAAATGCCTGTAGCTTGTGCAAAAATTGTGGACTAGTGCAAGTGTCAAGCCGTGGGACGTCCTTTACAGTTTGCATTTGCGAACACCTCTCCTGCTCTCTGTCAACCTAAAGATTGCTTTTTGGTTTTTGAATGACAGAAAGCAAAGGGAGGATTACTTTGGAATATCAGTTTTTTTTTTTAATATATTTCTTTACAAAAAAAAGTTCATGTTTAGTTTTGCATTTTGTTAAAACTATCAATAGTAACATTAATATACAACTTAAATTGAAGGAAAACATCTTTAGTATGTTAAGTGTCCTTCAACACAGCACCATCTTATTAGCTCTCACTCAACACATTTTTTTCTTTTAGGTTTCCTAATTTGCTTCCTAGATTTGAGTATCTGTTTGTCCCTTAAGGATGCTTGTAATACCCAGCTGTCTCCCTTGTTGTGGTTTCCAGATATTAGCTCTCGTTTCACAGCACAAACATTACAAGAATCACCAACTCTGCTTCAAAACTGAGGGGGGGGGACCCAAGAGGAAAACAAGTATGGGGAGGAGGGGGACAAACCATGTCAAACCCTGCTGTCTCGGTCTAGATGTTTGGCTTTTGACCTAAAAAAAATAAAAAATAAAAAAAATAAAAAAATCTGTTATGCCAGATTTGAATTGCTTTTTGTATCATTTGTTTAAATATTGAAATAAATGAAATGATTACAGAAATTCGTAACTTTGCTGTCTAAAGCCCCTTTCAGTGGTGACGGCATCTGTCGGCTCCTTGTCCGAATCGACATGCAGGTCACTTGTGTGTAAAAGGTAGTGCGCCAGACTGGATAACACTCAGGTATCACTTTGAACACACACACAAACGTGAACTGCATGCTAACGGCAAGTTTTCTACACACTCAGTTTGTAATCTGCTATACATTGAAAATATTCTTCTATGGTGCATTTTCATTAATCCCAAGTCAGAAGGGATGTGTTTTGGAGCCTTTGTAGGAGGGATGGGGAATCATCAGTCTTAGCAGCACCATGCAGCACACAAAAGTGACCTACAAAATGGGGGGTTAGCCATCCTTTTTTAAAGAGACTAGTGAAGCCAGGAATTTTAAGTCTGAAAAGGGCTTTATACACAGTATTCGCAAAAAACAAAAACAAACAAACAAAAAAAAAACAACACACACACACACACACACACACACACACAACATGGTGAGGAAATCAGCCCAATTTGTCGAATTCAGACTGAATTCTCCAAAAGGAATCTCCCGGACTTGGACGCGTATCCCACAGTAGCCGTTAAAAAAAAAAAAAAAGTAATCTTCACCCACCGGTCTGAAGAGCTAAATTCCAAAATGAGACGCACACATTTGGGTAGGAAGTGAAATTTACAGCAAACGTGTGAAAGCATGATAGTTTGTAATTCTACTCCTTGGCCAAGAGGTTGGTGACAACTTTATAAACATGTGACATTCACAAATATTCTCCCAAAAACAAAAAAAAAAAAAAAAGGTTAATGTAAAAGCATTTTGGAATAAAGCTCTTCTTCAATACGCCCAAGTCTGCTTTTTGCACAATTATTATACTCACACCTAAAGCATGTTTCATTTGATTAGGAAAAAAAACAAAAAAAACCCCAAAACTATTTCACTTTATATTAAGGCATCCAACATGCATCAGTGTATCCTTCCATAAAAGACACCTGCATTCGAATGCTTAAAAACATTTCAAAACAATGTAAAATGTGTCAAAGTGCGGTATGCCAAAGATTCTACTTCCCTCAGCCTCTTTTTGCGCTGCCTATTTGGATTGTCATGAAACTATGAACATGAATATGGGAACAATTCAACAGCCCTATTCTCTCCAAAGTACCTCCTTTTATATCCCAAAGTAGTGAGTAGACAACACTCTTCATTTCACCCTTCTGTGGCAATTATAAAGGGTGGTGGTTAAGACCAGTTCTTTCTCTCCCAATGATTTAGTCCAGTCGTATTTTATCCAAGCAATCGTTGCCCTAAAAGTGAAAGTAGGCGTGAGAAAAACAATTCCACAGGAGCAAAGTGGGAGTTATACATGTCAGCATTTCCATGTTATCCCAAAAAGTGTTTCCCAAAAAGCCCCCCATGGCCTCTGCCAAAAAAAGAAAGAAAAAAGAAAAGGGAAACACTTGCATCAGTTTTTAGGGTACAACAGCTCAAGCGTGGCAAGCTGAGTGCCTTTACAAATTATAGGAAGGTCATAGAAGTAAGGTAATACATAACCACAGGGTTAGGACCAAAAATGTCTGGATAAAATGAGGATTAAGGGAACTCTGAGGAGGGTGGGGGTGTTATCACATATCAGACAGCAACTGATTAAGTGACAAGCAGCATGGAAAGAGTCTGCCGTTGTATTTGATACCAGGTGAGCTCTACAGATAACGGATATCAAGTCAGTGAAGGTTGAGCAAAGGATAGCGGGTGCAAGGGGGGAGCCAACATCAAAAACTAAAGAATATTAGTTTTTGAGGATTAGTGCTCAAATCTGTTTATTAAAATCTGAGGAGCCCAAATGGGTCCAACAATAGTCAGTGTGCAGACCAATCCTGATCTGAGTCTTTAACTGTTGCTGGTGGCCATCGCTGGAGGCAACTCGATTATTATCTCCCCTTCAGAACCACCGCCAGAGCTGGTTACAGTAGTGGAAAGAGCAGCACTGCTGGTTCCGCTCTTGTTGACGAGCGCCGTCGGCTGGCCAAAGTTAGTGGTTCTCAGGGTTGCCAGGTGACGCGGAGAGAAGACGTGGGCCCTTGCTGCAGCCCGGGATTCAAATGAGACGTTGCAAGCGTCACAGCGCCCCGTCAGGGTCTCCTTTGGCACCGGCTGACCGGGCACTGGGGAAGCTGGAGGTTCGGTAACCGTTAGCTGAACAGGCTTGGGCAGGATGGGTCGATTGGCCTTGAGAGCGCTGTACTGCAGGTAGCTTCCTGAGCTCATGTCTACCTTCCCGCCTGAAAGAGGAGACTGAGAATCCCACATTGGAGTGTGGAGATGCAAACAGAGAAGGAAAGGAGGTATGTTTAATGTTCAGAGTTTTAAAACGAACAAAGCAAAATTTAGGCTGTCTGGATATTTGCTGAGGACAAGTTATCAAGTTTCCTTAACTTAAATTTGAGCAATATTACTGAACTCAACCATATCAGCAACCTTATGTGTTTAAAGTGGTAATCCCAAAAGACAAGAGTCAAGCAAGCTTGTCATTAAAGTAGTGAAAGCTAGTGAGGGAATTTTAAGCTTTTATTTGTCATATATTTTTAAGTAGGATTACTGAAATACATGCCCATTGCTTTACTTTATCCATTTATGTCTCAACTGATTTTCCAGGCTCTAAATGGTTGAATGTAATACTCCAAAACCACCTCTAAAAGCGCACAGCAGACCTAAATAAAACTCTTATTCAACATATTTTTAAAGAAAAGCATGTGTTCCTACTCTCTGCATTACATTTGCAAATATAAACAGTAAGTTTGTATTTTTAACAATGTATCAATAAAAAGGAGGGAAAAAAGTTGTTGTTTTTTTAAATGTCATTCTCATAGAAAAACCTGTCAGCTTACCATTTTCTCCTGCTGCAGCCTCCAGCGCTTCTCCTTCGCTCTTGTGTTTTGGAACCAAATCTGCACCACCTTGAGCGGCAGGTTGAGCTCAGTGCCAATTGCCTCGCACTCCATGGCGTTGGGATGGGCACAGGTCTCGTAACATGACTGCAGAATGGACAGTTGTAGGCAGGACAAATGAGTGCGTGGTCTACGGCTGGATGAGTGGGGAAGAAAGCTGCTTTCTGTTGGGCTTGATTTAGCTACACATGGGGTGGAAGGGCTGGCCACTTTGGCAGAACTAGGGGTGTTAGGGCTGACTGGTGCAATGCTGGGGGTGGGAGGAGGGGGGATGGTACGAGGAGCTGTGTGCGTAGGAAGAGCCAGTTGTTCTCTTGATAGAGTGTTGATCTTAATGGGGACTTTGGAAGTCCAGTAGTTCAGCCCATTCTGTTTTTGTGGCACCACTGCTGTGGCTGAAGGCCTGTTGTTGATGGGAGTTGTGGGGAGCTTCGGCACCATGCGGTTAGTGGTTCCTGGTCCAGGACCAATCTCATTTTCGTTATCCCGCTCCTCATCTGTCTTTTCTTCCTCACTCTCGTCTTCTAGCTTTCGTTTCTGGGCTGGTCGTGGGGCAATTGGAATCAAATCCTTGGGTGGCACCAAGAGGACAGGGGTATTTGCTTTGGGTGCAACTTTAACCATGGTGATGTTGCTGGTGGTTTCGAGTGTGGTCTTTGGCACTGCAGAAGCACTGCTGCTCACAGGAGATGCTGTGGTGGAAGAAACGATCTCCTTCGGCTTTATAGGAACAGGGGATATTTTTTTCATCACAACTGGCGCTGGTTTGGCCAGTTCATTTACAGGCTCCCTCTCTGTCTTGATGAGGGTGCGAACAATCGGAGTAGTTGTAATTCCCCCGGTATTGTTTGTAGCAGGCTTGTTAGTGAATATGGGTTTGGAAAGAGGCCAAGTAAATTTGATGAGAGGTTTGCCAACTGCTGCCAAGGTCCCGTCACCGATGAATCTGACCTCGCCTTTTCTTTCCCTCGCCCTCATGTTCTGGAACCAAATCTGAACCACCTTCTTTGGAAGGTGAACCCACTCAGAGATCTGTTCAAACTCATGTTTCCCAGGATTTGGGTCTTTGAAATAGCAGCCATACAGAATATCAAGTTGTTCTGCTTGTATGATGGTCCTTGAACGCCGCATATCCCGGTACCTTTTTCCTTTGGACTTCCTCTGCTCCTGTTCCTGCTCCCTCTCCTTTTCTCGGTCCCTTTCCAATAGTGTGGTATTCATTTTTTCTCCAGGCCTCATATAAATGCTAGACTTGGTCACATTACTGCAGTTGACCATGTTTGAAACATTGTTAGAAGAGGGCATGGCAGTTACAGATTCCGGCTTAACCTGGACGACTACCAGACCTTTGGATGTGGGCCTCAGGCCAAGTCCGTCCAGCAACTGTCCCTTCTGTGCTGCAATTGTATCAGCCAGAGATGAGGACAGAGCAGACTTTGAGCTGTTTTTGCCCATGCTGAGATCAAGAGCTGACTCACAGTCGTCACCATTGGACAGGTAGCGGGAAGTTTGGTTTTGTGAGAAGAGAGATTGCGAGAGAAGAGAGTTGGAGAAGCGTGTGATGGTTGGTGGGTTGGGAAAGATGGGGACTTTGCTTCCATCCCCAACCACCGAAGGAGTAAGGGAGAGAACATAGGGGCTAAGAAATGGAGTAGAAAAGGGAGTGAATGACAAGGGAAGCGAGTGGAGAGCACCAGTTGGGATTTCAGAGGGATCAACTGCATTGGACTGTGAGCTTGGAGGATCACCTTGGGCCTCCAACTCTAGATCTACATCTGGGTCTTGTCTTTCCTTTTTTAGCTCCAGATCATGTTCAAACTTCTCTCTCTGTTTTTTTCTCTTGGCCCCTTGACTACCTCCGCTATCCTCATCTTCGTATTCATCCTCTGCATCGGAAAGAAACACAGTCGTGGAGCGCAATACCTTTCCTCCAACTGAACCCTTATCGCCGTGGACCTCCCGCTGTGCTTCGTCTTTAGCAGGGCTTACAGGATCATCTTTTAAAGACCCATTCTGACTTTCCTCATCTGAAACAATGACAGAAGTGTAGACCTCATTCTCTGAATCAGATGTGAGACAAGAATCTCCCTGACCCTCCCTTCCCAACTCTCTGTGTTTGCGTTTCCCTCTTGTACTAGACAAATCCATGGCCTGATTACTAAATGGTTCAGCATCATCCTCACCTTCTGCTATTATGAGGGAGCTTTCCTCGTCATCATAGTCATTATCAGAACTCTGACAATTTCTTGTAACACCGGTCAGCTGTTCCAACTCTGTCGCCCTCTGTCTTTGTTTTGTGTGTCTAGCTTGGGTCAGCCACCTTCGAACCTCTTCTTCAGAAAGACCCACCTCTCGGCCCAGCGCTTCACAGTCCTCATGGGGAGGACTTGCAGCATCAGCCTCACTACGTGACTCAAAGAAGGCCCAGAGAACCTCTGACTGGAACTCTGAAAGCACTGGAAGGTCTGGATAAATGGAATCCACTGTATTACAATGAAGACGATTTTGGCTGTTAGTTAAGGCATTGGTACTTGAGCTGGATTTTGGGGTGCCAAGAGAGCCACATGGGCTTGTGCCTGATTGGGATTTTTGAGGAGTAGAATCAGGACTAAGGGTAAGGTTTAAATTTACAGGACTGAGGCTTGAGTTGCTGGGCACAGATGCAGAAGGGGAGAGGTTGTTATTGCGGAGGCTCTTCTCTGTGCCCGCTGGGGAGAGATTCAGGCTAGCTGCTTTATCACCTTCCAGGTCCAACTGATTTGTTGAGCAGTCTCCATCTGTTGTGCTATCTTCATGTGCCTTCCCATTGTTTTCATTATTCTCAACCTTTAGGTTACTTTCTATATCAGAACACTGTGAAACGTCTGTACTGTTGTCCTCCTTAGGTTTCTGGGCAGTACGGTTATGCTCATCTTTGACCTGATCAGAGATCTTTTCTTCAACAGTCTCATTTCTAGCCTCACTTTTTTGTTCTCTCTCACTCTTTAAAGTCTGTTTTTGCTCTTCCCCACAGAGCTGTATGTTTGTTGGAACTCCTGCAGAGGGCCACTGGTTCTGTAAGCTGTTAAGTCTTTGGGTTAGAAGAGCTTGCTGGGCTGTGCTGAGACCTACGAGTGGCACGCACTGGGTAAGGAGCTGGCCCTGCTGGTTCTCTTGGTGCTGCTGGGTTTGGGCTTGGAGCCCATTTAAGATCAAGGGCATAACCATTTGAGGCTGAGGCACAAGCTGAGGTGCAGCGGCACCAGGAGCAGCACTAGCTGCAAACAGGGAGGGGAGGAGGGAGTGTGACAGCGTGTTGGGACTGGAAGTGAGGAGGGTGAGAAAGGCCGAGACCGCCTGAGCTGAGGCCACAGGGGAAGTGAGGAGGGAGGGAGCCACTTGTGAAGTTGGAATCTGCTCGCCTTCTTTCGCAGCAGTCACCATCAACGTCCCAGGAGCAGCACAGTTGGTGGAGGTAGCTGACTGACTGCTTCCACTTTCCGACGTGGTAACTACTGGGTTGGCAGCGCTGCCTCTCAACCCAGCAGCAGCCACTGCGCTGTTTGCAGCATGTGCAGCAATTCCAGCATTTCTGCTGCGGGTCTGGTGCAAGACAGATTTCATATGGCTCTCAAGGGTGATGGCATGATTGTAGGAGACTCGACATACAGAACACTGGTAGGGTTTGTTTGATATATATGGCCGAGACAGGATTGGAACCGAAGGAGTTTGGGGACTATTTTCTGCACCTTGTTTTCCAGAGCCTGTTGTCATTCTCTGAATGTGGGATGCAGAGTTGTAATGAACACTCAAGGCAGTTCTGCTGGGAAAACTTTCCAAGCAGGCATTACATTTGAATGAACGGGTGTTATTTTCAGCTGGCACACCGTTTTTACCAACTGACTTTTCACTAGCGTCTGGGATTTCTGTGTTTTCAGTTGCATTTTGCTGTTTGGCTCCTGTAAGTGGATTTCCCTCCTCTTCTGGCTCGGCTTCAGCTTCACCTCCCTCCTGTTCCATTATTCTCTCTTCCTCCATCTCTTTGTCTCCAAGCGTCTGGGTAGCGTCTGAACTCTCGCTAGATTTGCAGGGGTCTGAAGTGATGTCTTCAGCGAGCTTCAGTTGTGAAGACTCAGCATCTGATAAGATAAATACACAATGAACAATCAAAATCAAATCAGTGGTGTAGTAAATAATAAATGTACATTTACATACAGCATGTAATTTGTATAAGCAAGAGGATTTTCCACTCCGAAAGCATGCTCTAACCTTACTCTTCGAGCCTCCTTTTGCCTTTACATAGTTTTAAAATAGATTATCACCATCAATCAGTAAAGGTCAACCAAGTTAAAGTTGTTGAGATATCCAATTAGTGCGGTTACGACAACAAAGGGCATGTGTTATTATCTTTTCAATTTTATAGTTTACTTCTCATGAGTTAATTACAAAAACAAGCATCACTCTCACCTGAGGACTTGTGAGCGCCTTTGTCCTCGTCTACACGGGCAGCCCGTTTTAGAACAGCCTGATAACAGAAAAGGAGAGAGTCAGCAAAATTTCCATAGCAAACTTGGCTGCGCAATGACTCTTTCGAGATGAGCTGAATGCTATAATGTAGCTTCTGTGAAGAACAACATTTGGGTGTGACTCATTGATGTGTGGTTATATTACACATAGCGAGCCTGCCTTTAATTTGCAAATTACCCTTCAGGCATAAATTAAGTAGTCTTTGATCAATTGAGCCACCAGTAAAATTCCCTTCATTTCTTAACATTATACATAACTAAACCATCGTGGTTCTTTACAGACTGTCTCCAGAGATACTTACTTTTTCAAATGTGATAGCTACTTAAATACTTTCAAAGTGACATACTCGGTAACAGGCTAAGCCAAACAATGAGATATCCAAACTATTTAAACAACAATCACAGTCCTGACTACACAAAGGGGATATGCACAAACAAGTCATGAAAACAGAAATTACTTCAATCACATTTTAAACTACTATTAATTACAGTACTGTGCGAAAGTCTTGAACTAACACAGATGAAAATAGCAGTTTAAAGCAAGTTTACACAATTCTAAAAAGTTTTCAAATCAATATTTGGTATGACCACTTTTAACCTGAACCCTTATCATTGCTTTAAGTAGTATTAAGAAATAGTTCCCCAGGCGTCTCGAAGGACATTCAAAGCATTTCTTTGGATGTTGTCTGACTTTGTTCCTGTTATCTACCAAGATGATCCCACACAGCTTCAATAATGTTGAGGTCCGGGCTCTGGGGAGGCCAGTCCATGACTGAATGTTTCTTTGTGTTCTTCTATCCAAATATTATTTTACTTCACCGGCAGTGTGTTTGGGATTACTGTCATGCAGCAAAAATTAACCGCTTCTTAAAATATATTGCATGGTAGCTCAAAAATCTGACATTGCTTTTCATAATTCATCATTTTCACAAGGTCCCCAACACCAATGACTGAAATGCAGCTCCAAACCATGACAGAGCCTCCACTGTGTTTTAAGGATGATCACTGTTGTACTGTCCTAGCCTCCTCTATAAATATTTTGATAATAATTTCAGTGAAAAAAATAAAATAAAATAAAAAGTGGATTCTTCATTCCTTAAGATCTGTTGACACAGATTTACAGTCTATTTGTGTACTTTGTCATACCTCAGCTTTTTCTCTCAGTTTTCGTTACTCAACAATGATTTTTTGACAGACACCCTTCCACTGAGGAAGGGTGTCTGTTTCAGATGAGGCTTCAGTGATGGATCAACTGAAGGGCCAGATGCACCTCTCAGGTTCTGTGTCAGGTCTTTACTAGATTGTCCCCCCAATTTCGTAAGGACATGACTTTCAGATGCTATTCATCATAGTTTTAGAAGGCTACCACTTCTTTTGTCCTCCACTTGTCCAGTTTACTCAATTTTTTTTTAAGGGCACACTGCACACCATGCCATGAAGGGCTCACCCTATCGGTGAAAAATAAATATATAAATAAATAAATAAATAAGCTGGTTGCTGTTATCTTTGATCTTGGACGTTTTTAAATAGTCACCTAAAGAAATGAGAACAAGTGTGTTTTTGTGACAAGCTGCTAGTAACAAAGTATCTAAAAATAAATTTTAAAAATGGTTCTTAGTCAAATTCTCTGTTGTGTAGACAACATTCAACACAGTTTCGTCCCTTCAGTTAGGTGCTATAACAAACAAAACATTTTTGTTTGTCCATGTACTGACCATTTCCTCTGAAAATGGTCAGTACATGGACTAAAGAAAAAGTGAGTAAAAAAAATTAGCCAATGCTCAAAGAAAACCTTTCAAAGACATTCAGAAAGTCTGGGGAACTTGTGTGTGTGTGTGTGTGTATATATATTTTTTTTCCCCTAATATTTTTCTGGTATTACAAATTAAGAATTTAACTGGCCTAGTTGTGTTTTCCATTGCTTAACAATGCCAATTTTCTAATGCATTTCATACTATGCCGGCTACAACAGAGAGGAAACTACAATACCTCAGCACTAAACACTGGCGCACTGGTTTTATTTTAACAGTAGATTACAGTCTAGCTCTGACCACTGTTCCTCTTTGACAATGTATTTTTCCTGTTTTGCATTCATCACCATGACTTCTGATACTTCTGTGCTTGCCTCGTCACTTAATTAATCATGCATTTGTTACCCCAGCATTTATAGCATCGACACTAAGGCTTGTGTAACTTTCTTGCCTCAAAAGCAACTATTAAGTTGGATGAGCATCACAAGAAATTTTTTTTTAAGAAGTTGTGAATTTGATTTAAGTTATTATGTCTAATCCCTGTATAACAGCCAGGAAGAAGTGAGATCATTAAACATTATGCACGTAACTGATATATTACCCAATATAATCAGGCTGTATAACAAGAGGAAGGAGGGGGGAAAAACATGAACTCAGCCATAATTTGACATACTTTGGCCATAATGCTATGCCACACTTACAATATCCAGCAACCTGTCGACACACGATGAAAGCACGCTGTGTTGTTGGGTGAGATGTAGAGATAGGGAAGATCTGTCTGATTGCCCTTTTTGGCACAGGGGGCACAACCACTCTGCCACCCCATTCCTTTCACTGCACACCGCCTCTCCAGACTCCTCCTAACAAACACAAATAGACGTTTGAGAATCCTGCCCTTCAGGAGTGGTTTCTTTGCGAAAAAGAAAAACAAAGCAAAGCAAAACAAAAATAAATGATGCATAAAGTATTTCATAGAAAAAGAAAGAAATTAAGATGTGATGCAATAACTGCAGTTTATGAAAGGGACTGACCAAGCTCAAGGAGGGAGTTAGACCAAGACAAACTGTTACTGGATGAATATCCACATCAATAAATCTAATCACAAATAAGTACCTCAGTCTCACAAGAGTTGCACTTCTAAATATCTAAAGAGATTGCTATTATTTGTCCACAACGACCAATTCAAACTGTTTAAGTGGCAGCTTTGTAATGTAAATGAGTACACCTCACACTCTTAGATGAATTTACAAGGCACTGATGCGAACTCAAAGTTGCTCCTGGATACAAGATCGACTTCCTAAACACATCTTTGTTGCCATTCTGACAACAAATCCGTACATACAATACCGAAATAAATGCAGAATAACCAGAGGAGCACACTCGATGCAAATCATAACATGCACTGCCTGAATTTACAACAAGTACACTGTCTCTCAGATCACAAATATCCCCACTGGTTTTGACTAATACGAGGAACATGTGGCCAGCATACTGCATATATTCTGATACCACACTGTACTCGCTCACCGTGCAGGATTAAAAAATAAATGAAATACTCGGGCTCCCATACATTCTTAAGGAAACCAAACAAACCGCTGGTAGTGTGAATATTACCACAGAGCTTTCATGTATACTTCGGCTAACATTCACAATCAAAGGTGCAGCGGAAAAACACGGGAATTCGTGCCCATGAGGAGAAATACCAACACAGCTCCCATCCTCACTTCCTCGTCATGCCAATTAGCAAGCTAGCAGGGTTATATGACCAGATAATATTTCGACGAGTCTACATCTGCGGAGTGTATCGCGTTTAATAGCTCCTCGTCACGAGTTTAATCATCAAAAGCAGAAGACCTACCTAAACTGGCATCTTCTTGGCCGTAGTTGGCTAATTAACGAGCAGCCTAATTAGCTATGCCGAGCAGAGACGAATCAATTAGCTAGCAAGCTAAGCGCTGTGAAGCCCCCCCTGTAACGTCGCATTACAGTGGTGTTTCTGGAAACGCTGGCTGCCAGTTAGTTTACTGAAAATAAAAACCTGCAGTCACAGCCACACTTCTCCGAAACTGTAAAAGACGAGGCAGGCGTCCGCGTAATCTCGCTCCTGGCTCTCTCGGTTAAGGCTGAGCGATGATTAAATTAATAAACAAAAAGGAGGGGGGTGGGGGGCTGTGCTATTAACAGTCGTGTCACTTTGCTAGCTAGCCTGTTAGCAGGCAGAGATAATTAACCGCTCCTCAAACTGTCTCCCAACTGGCCGCTCTACACTCCCTACAAAACTCTGCCTCGGCCAGGTGGGGAAACTGCAGCTTCAATAACCGAGCGAGTTTACCAAGGATAGACGATAGACTCATAGGCTTCATATTAAAATAAAAAACAAAACCTCGGCCTCGAGTTATTTCCTTACCCCTCTGATTATAGGCTGCCAGTCGGGCATCTAGTGTTGCACTGCCCGCCGCCTGCTGCTCAACAGCGCAAATTGAGGCCTAGCCGGACTAAAGCCATTTAATTAATGAACGTGGGCTCCGCTTACAGATGTGTTAGAAGCACTCGCACCCCCTCCTCCCTCGCCGCCCAGCAAGACCCCCTTTTTGGACGCGTCCTAGCGCTCAAATCCATACCTTAAACACTCACGGTGCAACACATGGCCATTTAAACTAGCGTTTTAAGAGCTCCGAGCCGTAATTGGCGAAAGAATTAGACGCCGAAAAGCGAGTTGAAAAAGCACAGTACGTGCGCGGCGGTCGCCTCGACGATGGGGGTGGTGTAGGGAGAGCCAGGCAAAAGAGAGAGACGAGAGGCGAGAGAAAAAAGTTTGGGATTTAATGTTGGATTTCTATGAGGGATCGGATTAGTATGGGGCACGATCCGTCGTTTGCTCGATCCTGTAGCAGTCGCAGGCCACTCTCCCCGCTCAAATCGGCACAATTAACCGATCGCGAATGGCGTTTAATTAAGTTCGGAGCAATTAGCTAATGCGTTTTTTTACCTGCATGGTCGCCGCTCCAGCACACGCACGCACACACACACGCTTCCTCTGTGGCTCCTCAGAAGTGAAAAGTTTTCTTGCCTGCCCTCCCTCCCTCTCTCTCCCTCTCTCTCTCTCTCTCCTGTTCTCCCCCTCCCTTCATTTGCCCTATCCCTCTCTCCTTCCCCTCTTCCCTCTAGTAAACAGACCACAGCTCCCCCCGAGGCTGATTGCTGACATTCAGAGGGGACAGACACGGCAATCAAATCCCTTATGTAACCCCGCAGATATTACAGATAATTAATGTATGTTCAAACACTGATCGCTTATTATTGGGTAATAGAAGTAATTAAGACAAAGAGAAAAGGGGGAAATGGAGGATGAATGATATATTCATTTAGAGAGGTGGTGGGGGGAGAAAGAAATATCTTAATGCTCAAATTACACGGAATTCCCCTTAAATGCGAGAGCTCTTCCTCATTTTCACATTAAAAGGTGAATAATAAATGAGTCCCCATTCTGCCAACTTAGATTGTCACAAAGAGTGTGACGACTTAATTAAAGCTGAATAATGGAGATGTGACCGCGGAGCTTCCCTTCGCCGGCCTCCTCACACCCTCCTCCGCACGAATTCTGACATGTTTTCACTCAAACTATAGGTGTGGCGCACATCAACAGCCGACTATGTGGGATAAATATTTATGAAGCGGAGCGGATTAAAACTGCACCATCTGTATGTCCCCTGCGTTTCTGGGACAGGAAGTGATTTTCCTGAATATACCAATAGGTGTCCTTGATTGCGCCTGTGCGAAATCAAACGTTGCTGACGTGTAGAGGTCGCACGGATTGAGCTTTTTCTCTGATTTCAAAGCCGAATTGTTTGAAGTGAAGGAGCTGATGCGTGAAGGTGTGTGACGGTACACTTGGTGTTTTTTTGGAGACTCTGTGGTTCATATTGGTGATTTTGAGATGTAGCTCCCGCACGACTCCACAGCAGCTGCACCGCCTGGGCTGAACGGCTCGAGTGTGATAATTAGACCGGTGTAACTTACTAATGGAGATACGTTTTTTGTTATTTTGTAAAATACATAGGTTACATTGTAACATTAAGAACAGTCAGCAGTAACTGGGGTGGCTGTTTAAGTGGGAGAAAGTTAGCATATCATTAGCAATAGCACAATGTAAACATAACCTTTTACGAGGAAAGACATTTATGTATATAACCTAATTTTAGTCAAAATATAGATAACTAAAGGTTATATAATTTTCTTAATATTATTATATAACTGTATTATTACTGATGCTTGTACTGTATTTCAGTGTAGAGCAGGTTAAATTACAGGCTGAATTTTGGCAGTACTTGTCAGCCACTTAGGTATACCTTGCTAGTACTGGATTGGAGTGTTTTTTACATTTAGAGCTGCCTTAATTCTTCATGGCATACATCCAACAAGCTGTGGAAACATTCCTAAGAGATTTTGCTCCACAAAGACATGAAAGCATCACACAGTTACTGCCGTTTTGTCCAGCTGCACTTGCGTTCCTCCATATCCCAAAGGTGCTCTGCTGTATTGAGATCTGGTGAGGGCATTTGAGTACAGTAAACTCACTTTTATTAAGAAAAAAAAAACACTTGCTTGCTCGTTGTTCACGCTAAATTCTGACCCCACCATCGAGCAATGGAGGGCCATCAAATTAGTTAACATTTTTCCCGTAGTACTCAGGTAGGCTGTGGTGTTTAAGCCATGTTCAGTTGCTACTAAGAGGTTCAAAATGTGGCAACAAAATGTTCCCTTCACCATTACACTGCCAGCAGCAGCCTGAACTGTTGATATAAAGCAGGATGGATCCATGCTTTCTTGTTTACACTAGTTTCTGACCCTACCATCATGATGTCACAGAAAAAATCGAGGCTCATCAGACAAGGCAATGTTTTTCTAGTCCTGTTCTTAGCTTGATGTAGCCTGTCTACCTCAAGGTTTGACTTGTTGTGCATTCAGAGATGCTCTTGTGCATACCTTGGTGGTAGCAAGTAGTTCTTTGACTTTTCCCTTCCTATTAGCTCAAAGCAGTCTGGCGATTCTCCTCTGACCTCTGGCATCACCAAGGTGTTTTCACCCAGTGAACTACTTCCCTCTGGATGTTTTCTCTTTCTCAGAAGGTTTTTTTTTTTTTTGTAAACCCTAGAGATGGTTTTGTGTGAAAATCCCAGCAGATCATCACTTTCTGAAATACTCAAAGCAGCCTGTTGGCTAATTAACAATCTTGTCACATTCAAATTCACTTTAGTCACCTTCCTTCCCCAGTCTGTTGCTCTGTTTGAACCCCCAACAGGTCATCTTCACCACCACTTTTAAAACTCATCAGCAGTGGCGTTACAGCAACATAACAAAATGTTTCCCATAACGCAGCCAGTCTGTGCTTTCTGCCCACCAATGAGAGCATTAATTCATCGTATACAACATACACCATTCTATTTATATCACTCCTACAGTGACTTTAAAGTAGACGTGGGCGTATTTGCAATCACATTACACTGTCACTTTGGATCTCACCATGTTTTCTTTCTTGTTTTTCTTGTTTGTTTGTTTTTTTAGATGAGTGTTGAAGTGGAAAGGAAATTTTCATGCAGTGCCGACACCCTGAAAAAACTGGAGGAGATCGGGGGTATGCGTTTAATTTGTCCGCCACACATTTACACATGAATCCAGTCAGATCGGAGGCATTTATCTGATGCTCTGATCCACGGCGAATTATAAACGGCCACTGAAAGGCTTTTCCAGCATTTAATGGCACTAATTGCTGTGGTTGTTGTGTAACTGTAGTGACACTGGCCATCTGTCTTTGGTTAATGATGAAGTTTAATTATCTGTATCAGCCTTTTTACATTTTATTTATTAAATTATCTATTTTAAAAAATCCCTTTTTCCATCAGCAGTTTGCGTTGGCCAACAGCAGATTCACGACCAGTATTTCGATACTCCTGAGTTTCACCTGACTTTGAGGGACATGTGGCTGCGTAAACGTAAAGGATGCTGGGAGCTCAAGTGCCCGACAGCGGAAGCACAGAGCGGGAAGCAGGGTGAAGCAGCAGCATCGCTGTGCACCCGTTACAAGGAGATAACCAGCCTGCCTGAAATTCACCTGAGAGTCAAAGAGGTCATAAAACAGGACAGAGAGTCAGAGGCGGGCTTCTCACAGGAAGATGAGTCGTGGCTGAGCAAACTGGACCTGGTGTGCTTTGCAGAGTTTACAACAGCACGGCGCTCGTTTACTTTAAAGGAGGAGGGCGTGCAGATCGATCTGGACCAGGCTGACTTTGGCTATCATGTGGGGGAGATAGAAGTCCTCATATCAGAGGGAGGAGATGAGCAGGCTGCACTGGAGAAGATCAGAAAAACGGCGGAAAAGCTGGGTATACGCTCTCAAACATTTAACACATCCACTGCCTTATACTGTGTATTATTAAGCGTACCTGTGAAGTAGTGAATACCTTTTTCTCTTCTTCTTCACAGGGCTTACTGGAGATCAGCGAGTTAAAGGAAAAATGGATGTTTACCTCAAAAGAAATCACCCTGAGCACTATGCAAAACTGCTTAGTGAACACATCCTGTAAGAGATCATACTGCATCTGTACAAATATGGGAACAAAAAAGGTCTTATTTACTATAAAAGGTAATATTCTTTAATAAAGTATAGATTTATAAACTCAATAAACTCTAAACTGTAAAACCTACTGGATGGTCCATGGCTGCTGTCATTGCTACGTGAACTTTTTGTATGTGAGGTTATGTTTTAGGGGGTTTTGGGAAGGGTTTGGGCATTCGATCAGAGTTTATATTAATTTATCGCTAATGATGACAATGTTTTCTTACCGAGAGTAAAGATGTGTACTCACAAAGAGGCTCAAAGAGGAGGAACTGGTTTGTGACACGTGGCAGAGGATCTTCTGATTGCTCGGCACACATTTTTAGAGTGATGAAACCGTCCCATTGTCTTTTCACAAAAACTTTCTTCACAGTATTTAAATCTGAATGTCTCACTAAAAACATTTGCACTCGAATGTTCTACATAGCGTTCAGAATTTGACTTGTTATATGTAGATACATATCTTTTGACGTATGCTATGCTTTGCAAGCAGTCACCTTTACGGGAGACTGTTTTTGGAGGCACTAATTAGTTTGTCATGTCCACGTCATTATTAAGTAACTATTAAGTAATTACACAATGATAAATGAATACCTACAGTTGGTTGTGTGTATGTGGGCGGAGGATGCAGGTATGTTTGTATTCCTGTCTGTATGACAACATTTAGTGACATTAATACATTGCCCATCCTCTTAATCCTAAAAAAAACCCATCAGGTGCCAAACCCTACCCAAATTCTAAACAAAAGCCTCCTGTGCACAGCCACGTTTCAAACAGGCACAATCACAGACATTTAGTGAGTGTATCCTTGTAGCTGCACTCCTTCCAAAACAGTAACTTCCCTGCATGTTGCACGTTCAGGTCACATCTGTAAGTGGGAGCTATGGATAAATAGGGTCCAAATAGCCAGTTTTAGATCCAATTTAAGACCCAGGAAGCACAAGAACAGGTTGCAAAGAACAGAGTGAGGACTGCAACCTTTCAACTAAACAAAAACATGTCCTGCCACTTATGTCAAAATAGCTATTGCGCAGCATCTTGATTGTCCCAGAAATATTTCCTCCTTCAACCTACTGTTTACGGTTACAGTTACATGCATTGTTAGAGTTATTATCATCTTAAATCTGATCTTGAGAAAATGTTTGCCTGCTGCAGAGACACACAAGGGGCTGCACTGAGCGTGTTGTTCACGGTGAGAAAAAAAAGTGCTCCAGTGATGTCATTAAAAAGCTTTCCGCCTCATGACTACCTGTTTGTTTTCTTCAAAAAGATTTCTTTGTTATGATGTGTACCAGAGATTAGCTAGAAATCAGTCAGTTCAGTGATGGTTACAGAAAAAGGAGGGGAAACACACAGTTAGAGGACAAACTGTGACTTTAAGTTTGGCTCTTTAAGCTCCATCAGTACTGTCTGTTAACGACAACATTTCTAATAGTCCTGTGCAATGTCTACTTAATGGTGATATATTCATTAGCAAGAGGAAAACACTGTATATTTTAAGCTGCAAAGAAAAATTCATGTTCTTGCACGTCAGCTTGTATCAATGATAAATTACCAGAGTTATCCATGGATAATCCTCTTTCATTTTGGGTCATGTCCAGTCAGGTGGATGCAATGGAGGAGGATTCTCAGAGGTGTAGACTTGTTCTCCTGCTGATTAGGTCTCCGCACCTGTTGTAGGCAGATCCACCTGGACACCTGGAATTCACACCACACACACCATGGCTTCTGCTGTGCACAGACAGCTGGTCTTGTTCACAGGAAGACTGCACAGGAGGCCAACTTCATGCAGGAGTTGTTACACAGGCAGTCCTGTGTCACGCAGAATGTAGATGATCCCTTTATTTAAAAAGAAAACAACCCATCATCATCAACCAATCAGACATGCAGTGGATCGATTCCCAGCTAAAAAAGTATCCTTGAGCAAGTACTAGCCCTTTGAGTTTCCCCTGATTCATCCATCAGACTGTGAGTGTGTGAGAAATTTAGCTAAAGGTGTGTAGGTATAGATGAAAGCACTGCATGACGCTGTATGTGACTGGGTGAATTAGATTTATTATACAAAGCACTTTGAGTGCTCAAACTGAGTAGAAAGGCGCTGTATAAGCACCAGTCCTGTTATCAGAGGCGGATCTGGGGGGGAGGGGCTTTGTTTTCTTAGAAGAGATAACGATATAATAATTAGTTATTATACCTCTGTACCATTTACAGAGGTATGTGCTACCCTGTGTAGATCTCTTGCTTCTCCTTTGTCCTCACATGTAAAATTTTCTAGATCAGTCACTGTCTGTTACCATTTACAGTTTCCATGTACAGTGATCACAACAGAAGTCTGAATGTTTCAAACTGCAACAACACTTATTTAATGGACACCACGGCCCATAAGTCAGGAGGTCATACTTGTAGCAAAAGAAACACAGAGTAAACCTAAGGCAGTCTGCATACGCTTACAATGTGATAGATGTTGGAGCAGAAATTTATTAGCCAGACATCAAAACCAAGAGTAAATTCTGCTGAGGTTGTTTGCATTTTATATCTGGTGAAAAATAATGAGTAGTTCACTCCTATGGGCAGTTTAGAGTCACCAATCATCATTTAAAACAATAACTCTTAAACCAGTGATTATTAAATAATGGATGATTCCTAACAATATTATAGCCTGTATCCGAGGCTGTTTTGTGCCTATAAATGTCCCTTCTCAGATATAACTTGTATGATATCCACTGGTGTTTGGTAAATAATAAAATAAATGTACTGTAAAACATGTAACACATGAAATGAGTCCGTTTTCAGCCCATGGCCCATCTGTAAGTGAGAGGCCCTGGATTAGTGGTTCAGCTGTCGGTATGTTGTTTGAATCTTCCTGTACGCTGTCAGCAAATTGTTTAGCGATAAAGAGCTTGCAGACATGTCATGAATTCAGAAGTCACATGTTGTGGGCTTTGATGACTCAGACCTTCTTCTCTTCATATTTATACATTATTTGTTGTGACACCCTCTGGAACACATTCCAAAATGTAGATTTTAGAGGCTAAGTTAGTTCGGTTAGTTGAGCCCCACATCCACACAGTGGCCCTGGCAGCCAAATCCTGGGGGACTGGTAGACTGTTTTGTGGGACCTAAATAACGCAGGTGTCAAAAAATAGACGGGTTATTAAATTATAGGACCCTCCGCCCCTCGGGAATAGATGACAAACACCTTCTTTACCATGAGCAACCTCAGACTTGATTCATTACGTTGAGGTGACACAGGAATGAGCAGTACAGTCGTTCACAATAAATAAAATAGATTGCTCAGTGGCACTTTAAGTTGCTTAGCTTGACATGTTATCATTTTTAGTTTCCTTCCACTTTACTCTGTGTGCTGTTTTCATTTTAGTTTGAAGAGAAGAAGGTCGCCCCCCCCTCCCCACCAGACACACACACCCAAAAAAATAAATACATAATAATATGAAAAACTAAATTTACTAGCCAGAAGAGTCCGAGTCCATTCATTACGAGCGCCTTCAGTGTACGACTACAGTCTAATGTTTATCGTTATGTTAAAGTTATGTGAAGCCTATATGGGCTGTACATGCTCTGGACATATACATATACGACATACATTACGAAATATTCTAATTCAATGATATTATATAATCCATATAGATTATATTTATTATATTTCTTTCACAAAATAAAATAATAAAATGATAAAATAATATATTTGAGTAAAAATTCCTGTAGATGGCAAAAAAAACAACAACCCAAAAACCCATCTGGTTTATCTTCTACTCTAAACTTTATTTAAACCTGTCAATAAATATTTTAATTTTTTTTAACAGCTGCACGGTAAACTGTTGCTGGCAGCTGGTCACGTGACGTTGAAAGGGCAAGCGGGGGGGCACGCGCAGGGTTTTTTCACACTTTTGTAAACAACATGGCGATTCACGGACCTGCTCTGCTAGCAGACTGATCAAACACTGTGTTCTCAGACCTCCGGCTCTCTAGCTTTGTGAGGGGTTTCTGTTAGACGGTGCGGAAGTTGTACACCGAGCACACGGTCCAGTACGCGGAGAAACGACAAAGAGGTGGACCGACGAGCTGTCAAGAAGATCGTTTGACAGTCCAACGGTAGCCAAATGTTATCGTTAGCATTATCAGCTAGCTCGAACTAAATCTTCCCCAAGCATTTTAAACACGACGAGCTAATGTGCAATACACGGATGGTTAGTTTGTATTGAAGGAGTGGAGAGGTTTGCGCCAGTAACTTTAGCTGTTATAGGGCTTACGCCGTATCCAGGAAACATTATTTCCTAGCTGCTGTGCTTCTCGTCCCTCTCCAAGGTGTCTGGGATCACGTGACGTTGTCAGGTAACCCTGAAATTGTTGTTACACGTCTCGTTATTCTCTCTGGTAGGCCATCTTCAGTCTATGGGCTCACAGTCCAGTTCTGGGATGTCTGGTGGAAGGGGCTCTTCCAGTGGCAACCCAGGAGAGCAGTCTGAAGCGACAGAATCAAACCAGGGCGGCAGCAGCAGCCGAGGCCGCAGGACGGACAGGCAGTCTTCATCAGAGGAGGACGTTGACTTAGCAGAAGTGCTGGCTTACTTACTGAGAAGGTGAATTTCACAGTTAAAAGCGCTCAAACTGATACCACGGAGGGCCTAGGTTTGTAGCAGAGGTACTATGGAGTTGTTTTGGTGAAAGTGGGCCATAACTAGCAGAAGTAAAAATGAGCAATTAATACATAAAAACACAAGTGCAATAAAGTCAAAGTCCTTCTAGTAGCAAGTCATACCATCGATCCACCACTTGCAGTCTTAACCTCTTAAGCCCCAAGCCTAACTGATCTCCTGCCTTTTGCCCCCGTATCAGGGGGCGTTGGGGCTTAAAAGGTTAAGCAAGCGCTCCTCTTTCTAGCCGAGAGACGTAATCGTTATTAAAGACGATGGCACTCAAAGCATTCCACAATTAAATCTGTGGGAGAGTTCTGCAACAGCAAAAATGTTGATAGAAGTAAAACTTGTTGGGAGCGAGGGAAGAAAGCTTTTTATTAACACGTGGCTGGTGATTCTGTGTGTGCAGTTTATACGTCCTGCTGACAACTGAAATTAAATTGGATAATTCTTCAAAATTACTGCCCAGCGGCATTTCGTGGTGAGGACTACATGTTTTTGGACTGCCCCGGGGACTTGTAGCATTAGTTCATTACTTTCTAATTTCTTGAACTCAGAACTAGGACAGAAGTCTTTGTCACGTATGTGTGTAGTTGCTGCAGAGAAAGGGACTTGTGTGTGGCGTCGTATCAGGCACTTATTAAATGACATTTAGAGGCAAATAGAAGTAATGCATGCAGTATTCTATCTCGCTGCCAAAGAGCAAATAATTGAAACGTCACATCACATTCCAGCGCTGCAAAGCTAAGTGGGGGGTTAAGGTTTTCCCATTTCAGTTTGATTTAATTGCACTTGGATAAGCTTGGAATTTTTTTGTATATCCCTCTGTAATAGTTTCTTTAGTGAACCGTGACATTGGCAGGGCCTGCTCTCGTGACCAGAGGGAACCGAGATCTGCAAGAAAAAACATTTGACATTTCTCACTTCTTTAGCGTTTAAATGTTGTCATTGCTACATGTTGTACAGCTGGACCATTTAGCTTTGGTTTCCACCTGTCAATTTTTTTTTTTTTTCCTTTTCCAAGGTACATCTTTGCACTAGGGCAATAGATAATTGGATTAATCATAACTGATTAATTGACTGGTTGCTTGCATGTGCAGGGGTCAGGTAAGACTGGTCCATGGCAGTGGAGCCACGGGGCTGCAGCTGGTCCAGTCGTATTCTGACTCTGATGAAGACAGCGATGGAGCCTGGGATGGACGGCTGGGTGACCGCTATAATCCACCAGGTAACCTCCCACTGACACTGGGCAGGAAACTAAGCAGTTTTTTACTTGTTGGTTTACTCTTCATTTATACCCTTAAATACATCGTTACAATGATCACATAATATGGAAAGCTAACAGATCTATTTAGAGTGCAGCCACTGCAGTGCAGAAATACATGTAATTATGTTAGGACGATGTCTTCTTCTTTCCAAGTAGTGAAGCAGTGAATGAATGTCAGTAAGGTTTCATTTAGAGACATAATCGTGTTACAGTAATGTTATTGTCTTGTTTTCACTGCCATCCCAAAAATGTTATTTATGGAAACTTCAATTCAGTTTTTTTTGTTTTCTAGAACTATTGAGGCCTAAATACTGTTTCTTCTTCCCTTTGTGTGTTTCTTCTTTTCCTCTCGTTGCATGTCTGTTCATCGTCTGTCAATCAGTGATGGATCAAACATAAAACAATGTTTCAGTTGTCAAAAATTTCCATGGATTGTTCTCTCAAATATGTAGGACAGCTAATCAGAGCATGCCTGAAGTTCTGAGAGCTTGTTGTTGAATGTGAGCTCCTACTGAGGCTTGTTCTTTGTGTTCTGTCTTTAGTGGACACCCAACCTGACACACACGAAGTGGACCGGAGTGAGATCCGCACTCAGATCCTGCTGGCCACCGCCTCCTCTTCCTTGAAAGGCTATCGCAGTTTCACCCGCATGCTAGCAGAGGTCAGACCCCAGAAATAAATTCAAAATGGAAAATAATTGCGGCAGTGCAGTTTTATTAGTTTTGTTTATAGAGTTCAATGAAGTTATGAAACTGCAAATAAATGTTTTTGTGTGCAGAGAGAAAAAGGCAGATGTAGAGGCTCCAGTTTTTCCCACGGAGAGTGCAGTCGTATCCGTACGCAGTAAGTAACTTTGGAGTATTTAAAATCTAAATTAGAATTAAGTAGCAATTAGTTTAGCGTGACTAAAGCCTTGATTGGACCATTGTGCTCTGTTGGAGCAGAGGGATAGCTGCACAATTGCTGTGAAAATATACAATGCATTGGACATGACGAAGACGAAATTTTAAAATTGTGACCCCAGTGTTCTTCTGCAGTTTCCTGCCAAACTATGTGTCCCACAAGGATACATACCAGCAGAAAGCCTTCTGTGGAGTGTACAGCGAGGATGGCAACATGTTCCTCTCCGCCTGCCAAGGTAAATAGCACGATGTCCAACTTTAGGATCGAGAGGGGCTGAATCAGGTCTGATTTTTATTCTGAGTGTTTGTTTAAAGCTGCTGCGTGGATCACCAAATCATGCTGTGTTGTGTACAGACTGTGTTCAGGCAGAGGGGAGTATTGTTGGACTTTTCTCATGTTCTAAAAAACAAATATCAAGCGCATCATCAGTTCCTATTTCCTGATTTAATGATTAATGGATGAAGTTACTGTTTTGTAAGCAAACTAAACAAGCGGAGGACAACATGTCTCACCACGTCTCACCTACGCTTGCCTAACTGTCACGACTATTCTTCATGTATTATGTCTGTATTAGAGATCAGCAGCAAGCCCTGAACAACAAACCAGAGGCTGGTGACATACACGTGTAAATGAGTCATTATGTTAGTTCAAACTGATTAGTCTTACAGATAAAATGGAGAAAGTGAAATAAATCACTCTGTTTGTACCCAAGGAATAAATTTAAAAAAGAAAAAAGAAAAAAAAGGACTTTGTCACAAACTCTGAGGGACCTGTAAAAAAAACCCAAACAAAAACAAATGCGAGTCTTTGTGTTTTGTTTAGTTTTATTTTTTTTCTTGCTGCAGACCAGAACATCCGCTTGTACGACACCAGTAGGGGGCGTTTTCACCTGTGGCGAACGGTGAAGGCCCGTGACGTGGGCTGGAGCGTGCTGGATGTCTGCTTCACCCCCGATGCACACCACGTGCTCTACTCCAGTTGGTCTGACTACAGTAAGGCTATGGGACCAGTAAAATATTACATGATGAAATGAGGAAAACAGTTTGCCATCATTAGAATAACTAATTCTGTAAAGATTCAGCAAACCTATCTTCAAGATTGTCTCTTTTTTTTTTGGTTGGGATTATAAATCCACTTTTCCTAAAAAAAACCCCAGAAAATCTGGGACTGTTCGTGAACTGTAAATCAAACACATAAAAGGATATTTGTACCATTAAACAGAGCAGACACAAAAAATCTGAATATTAGGTAGGGCTGCACGATTAATCGTTAGAAAATCGTGATCTCAATTCATACTTATGTGCGATCTCGTTTCCAAATGACAACGATTTTAAAAAAAAAAGAAGAAAAAAAAGACGCGACGATTGTACCGCATTTTGATCCGAAATGTAATCTGCATAAAAACAAGCGCTCACTCTTCCTGCTCAACAAATGACAAGGGCGGAGCCTTATACCACGTGATACAGAAGCTGGCTGCTAAAATTGGCAGGGAAAAAACGACGGAGAGCATGTCAGGGATGACGAAAAAGTGACTGGAGAAAATCCGTCCCGGTCAACCACCCAAACATCAATAACGGGAACCTTTATGCGCTTCCCTATACCCGTCGAACTCCCGCAGGCACAAAGAAATTACGGAGGCTATTACTTATCACCTGACCAAAGGTATGGCTCCCATCAACACTGTGCAAAATGAGGGATTTAGGAAAATGATCAACACCCTAGACAAACGCTACACAGTGCCGTCCCGCAACTATTTTTCTATTGTTGCACTACCTGCTCTATACACGCAGTGTCGAGCAACGGTGGAGACGGAATTTCAAGCAGTACAACATTTTGCGGAAACGACAAAATGTGAGACATTTGTTGTTTTTATGTTTATTTATTGTTTTTATGTTCAGTCTCAACTGTTTCGAAGTTGATGTGCAGTTAATAAGTGCAATAAATATTTATACTGGAAAAGAAAATCGTGAGAGAATCGTGATCTCAATTCTAAGCAAAAAAAATCGTGATTCTCATTTTATGCAAAATCGTGCAGCCCTAATATTAGGCTGGGTTTTTTTTTTTTAAACAACAGAGGGAATTTTTTAGAACTATAAAACTAATCATTTTGAAAAAGTATTGTTTTATATTCTTGTTCAGTACAGAACTGTCATATTTTTCCCTTCCTAGTGTGGCAGATGTTTATATTATATTATAGATGTGTGCAGAATGTGGTTTAATATTGATTTGCTGAACTCAGCAAGGTCTTTGCTGAAAAGCCCATGGCTGCATAGCAGCATATATTTTTCCAAACCCTTACTATTAAGCATTAATGGTGCCTTCACAGATGTGTAAGTTATCCAGTATTACCATCAAAGATGTTGCTTTTTGAACTGCCAAGGCAGATGATCCCTCTCCTTTGTGTCGTTGATATCCAGAAAGACTTTCAGAATCTGATTTGTTAGACCACTGGTTGTTTTTGTGGCTTTAAAGAAGAAATTATATTACATTTATTTTTAAAAATGTTCAGAAAAGAAAGTATTTTAAGGTACTAAATAAGAGTAAATAACACTTAGCTTTACTGTATACACAGCTGCTTATTGTATTGGTGTGTCTTATATCCTAAGTGCAAAATACATTTACCCACCACTTCATAAGCTATGCCTGTTCAGCTGCTCATTAACGCAAATGTCTAACCAGCCAATGACATGGCAGCAACTTGGTTCATTCAGGCATGTAGACATGGTCAGGGTGGCCTGTTGAAGTTCAAACTGAGCATCAGAATGGGGAAGAAAGATGATTTCAGTGAGTGAACGTGGCATAGTTGTTGGTGTCACGCAGGCTTGTCTGAGTGTTTCAGAAATGGCTGATCAGCTGGGATTTTCCCACACAGGGTTTACAGAACATGGTCTGAGAAACTGAAAATATCCAGTGAGCAGCGGTTCTCTGGGTTAAGATACCTTGTTGATGTCAGAGAAGAATGACCAGACCGTGACTCAAATAACCACTCATTACAAACAAGGTGTGCAGAAGATCATTGCTGAATGCACAACATGTTAAACCTTGAAGCAGATGGGCTACAGCAGCAGAAGACTCTACTGCGTCACTGCTGCCAGCTAAGAACAGGAAACACAGACTTACCAAATTTGGACAGTACAAGATTGGAAAATGTCTTAATGAGGAGTTTCACTTTCTGCCATCACATTTGTACGGCAGGGTTAGAACTCCATGAAAGCATGGGTCCCCCTATATCATTGGTTTAAGCTGCTGGTGCTGCTGTAATGGCGTGTGGAATATTGTCTTGCTACACTTTGGGCTTCTTCCAGCAGGATAGCATGCCATGTCACGAAGATTCAATAATGTCAAACTGGTTTCTTTAACATCACAATGAGTTCATTGTGTTCAAAATTTGACAAATCCGCAGCAACTGTGTGATGCTGTCATATCGAGATAGACCAAAACCATTGAGGAATGTTTCCAGTATCTTGTTGAGTGTATGCCACAAAGAATTGAGTCATTTTTGAAGGAAAGATGGGATTCAACCCAGTTCTAGTAAGGTATATCTAATAGGGCTGCCACAAACCATTATTTTGATAGTCGACTAGTCACCGATTATTTTTGCGATTAGTCGACTAATCA